TGTAAGAACTATAATATTACCGTCAAGCCGGTTAGATCAGCGTGTATATCACAAGAACAGAACGAAAGTGAAGGAAAAAAGCAATGTATCTGACAATAGTAGAAACTTATTGTGTACATATGTATGTAAGTATGTCATATTTGACTTGTTGCATTGTCCATTGTTTGTGATTTGTTTGTATCAAGACTTCATTTATGTAATCAGCTTCCCTGTAGGCAAAAGGTAGGCTAACATGCAGAAATTCTAGTTAAATACTCGTATTGTGAAAGCGAGATTGTACGAGTTCGTTGTAGACTAGAATTATACTAGTATTTAAAGAACAAAAATATACCAGTTTTCCATGCACTAGCATATTTCAAACCAGTTTGTCGGTTTAGAAAGAAGTATGCGTAACCAGGAGGTTCGATCAAACATTATTAAACTTGCCGATACAATAACTACTACAACAACCCACTATTGTGGATTTTTATTTTAGCTGTAGTGTTAATTACCATAGTTAACATGATTCGACTTAGATCAATTATGAGCCCTTTAATTCGATAATTTGCTTCCATTTTGAAGGTAATTTCATTTAGCCTCTCTCATAGAAGCCCTCGTTCCTATTGGCCAAAAAATTGCGAAAGTCAATTTTTACAAGCGTCTCTTGAAGCGAATTTTTCACGAGCAAATTGCTCCCGATGTACAGGAGCAGATGTTAATCACTTGGTGCCAGGTTCGGAATATAAGGTGGATGCATAACAACCTCCCAACAAAGTCCTCGGAACTTCTGAAGTGTCATAATCGACGTGTGTGGTCTGGCGTTGATTTGAGCCAACACAATTTTTCTCATATTGGTCAAGGTTGCCTATTTCTGTGCGATGGCTTTCTTCAGACGGTCTAATTGTTGATGGTACAGTTCCGAGTTACGAGTTTTGCCTTAAGGGAGCAGTTCTTAGTAGATAATTTCACGTTGTTTCCACCAAACTCAGAGTAAAACCTTCCTGGCCGTGAATCCTGTTCGGTCACCGACCATTTTCACTTGACGTTATCATAAGTGATCTGCTTTTCATCGCCAGTTACCAACCGCTTCTGAAATGGAACGATTTTTATTGCGATTGTGCAGCGATTCGCTGATGTAAATTCCAAGATTTTTTTTGTTGTAAATCGATTGGCACCCACACATCGAGCTTCTTTCCGCATCCAGCCTTATTCAAATGGCAATCTTTAGTCATTTTATCGACATTTGACCTTCTCCTCCGTGAAGCATGCTGACGACTGACTTTCGTTTTCCCCCTCATTTAAGATAAACTATAAAATATTTGTTGTATTTTCTCTTTGCTAGTGTCCAAGAGAGTGATAAATAACAGTTCGTGGGATATTGTGGTGTTAAAAATTGAAAAATAAATGGTAGATGAAGATTCTACTTAACAACCTGTATTTTTCCCTGCAGGGTTGTATCTTGTAATTTTTGGTTTGTTTTTATTTGTGTATATATGTAAATATATAGGCACAGATTTTGTTCCATGCCAGTTTCTTATCCCCTCCTTTATTGTGTTCTTAAAATGTTTACTCACTTTTGGGTTTATCATTTGTTTGCTACAATTTTTGTGAAAAAAAATTCCTTTTTTTTAATTCAAATTATTACGGTTGTTTTGTGGTTAGAGAAACAAACAAATTATTCGCTTCATATGAGTAACAGAACAACAAACATTGAAGGTTGTGTTAGTGTTTTCCGAAGCGGTTTTCGACACATTGTTCCTGCATTTTACAGTTTCCGCTCTCATTTATACTCAACCACTGAATTCAGTATTTAAAGAACACACACTTCGTTCCGGCAAAGGAAGGCGCAGCAAATCAATGCCACGTAGCGAAATCAAAGTTCTTCCAACCACTGTATGCGTTCTCAACTAGTGAAGCGAATGGTAAGATATTTCCGAACAGGGACATCATTTCGCCGCCAGACAAGCACTAAACGCCATTCACCGAGAGTCAGTCAACAGCTTCAACAAGTCTCTTCCTGTGAATCGCGTCCTCAGAATCAAATCACCACCTATAGCAGATGAAGAGCTCGAGCTGCTTCAATACTCCCGCGTAATTTTAGCGCTACTTAGGTCACAATATTGTGGCAAGTTAAACTCCTACCTATCCAGACTCAACCGCGTTATACCTAACGCATGTCCAACATGTAACGAGTCAAAACACTAACCACCATTTTATATGTAAACTAAATCCGATACATCCATCACCCCTTCCTTTGGTCCGGCCTCGTCGAAACAGCTCCCTTCCTGGACCTCCCGTTAGATGACTTAGATTAACTAGCCTGTCCTATTAGAGTAGCCGCCAACAATAACTACAACAGGAGCACAATTTCGGTAGAATGCATAATTTTGCTTAGCTTGGATTTTTGAACATTTAATTGATGATAATCGATCACTTCTTCGACCCTGACTACAATAAGGAGTCCTGTTTTTGTTACAGCCAAAAAATATTTCCCAAACCAGTTTTTGGAGGAGGTAATAGTTCTTGGCCGGCTTAAAATCCGGGTCGTTAAGATTTAAACACCCGATTGTCACGCGAATTTTTGAATTTTAGACGCCTCTTACGAAAGACATGCGGGGTCCTCGTTGCCTGCGTCGTTAACTATACGATTTTCTGAATATCTATGGCACTTAGTGTGATGATAGCACTTCGGACTTTACGGAAGCTGTGTTTATGCGATGCTGGACAAAGACAGTTATACTGGGAGTAATATCAGCTTCCACAAGTTGGGCATAGTTAGGAGGGTTAAAAACCGTTAAACGTAAGTCGTGCACCCAGCGCTATAAGCAAAATAAATGATTTAATACCCCACTCCCTCGAGTCCGAGCCTGTTTTATAAACCTCCCATAGGACATCTCCATGATTTGAACTGACTTTGCATACTCGGAAGCGGTGGCCGGTAAAGCGAAGGGCTATAAATTATAACGGGTTATGAACAATGGTAAGTTTGTCAGATTAAGGATTACTCTCTAACGATCGATGGGTTTGACTGCATTTGACTTCATGATGATACCTTGAACCTCTTCATTGGTTAAATAAATCAGTAAATGACGCTTTTTCGTTTCCGTCAAGTGTAACGGAGATATGGCAGCGGGAAAAACATGAGCTGCGGCCGCCTAGCTGAGTTGTTAGAATTAAATATTGTGTTTCGGAGCTCGACCAAAATCGAAAATAATAGAAAATTAATTTTTCTAATTACGAAAGCCACTGACTGGGGATGTCAAACCCTGCGAGTGTATTTCTGACATGAAATAAAGCTCCACTGGCCGTTGGGAGGTGGCTTGGAATAAACTGCAAGTCCCTTTATTTAATGGGAAAGTATCAAGACACACACCACAAATTGTAGAAGGAGCTCGGCCAATAAACAGTTCAGTTGTTACAAAGCGTCAGAACTAAGCCTCAAAATTCTGCAAAGCTGTTTTTTTAGTCCTTAGCCGCAGTATTTAGATAGTTTGGCCGGTAGAGAATACCAAAATCGTCTCTATAAATCATATACACAAAAGTACCAGGAGCGCTGAAGAGCATTCCTTCATCTTTAGGGCCTACAAATAATAGTTGCTAACACAAAAATAAGAGCTGCAGTTCAAATCCGTGAAAAAATGTCTTTGATAAACTCACGTTCAACAACAAAAAGGCTTATTTTATGTTATATTAAGAAAATAAGTCAGCTTATCGAGCACGCCTCACTACAAATCCCAGCTTCGATTAGTGAAACAACTTGTGAGCTTAAAAGCGAGGACAAGACATTGTTTTTTATATATAAAGAATTACACATTTTTTCTATGCATAACATTCCAAACGTTTTTTTTGTCTTTTTTAATTCGCCAATGCCAATAAAATTTGCATATATATTCTTTTCAACTTTTCTGATTTTTTTTTTATTATTTTTTATATTTCATTTTTTTTATTTGTGTCAAACCGGTTTAACTTTGCTTGAGCTGAATTTATGCATTTTTTGTTTCATTTCTTGTTTATCATTTTTCTGCTTCCTTTCATTTTACACGCTTCTCTCAGTGTTTTTTGAATCGCTGGATCGCTTGATTTAAAAACCCGTTCTCTTAGAAAAATTACACGGCCAAGTTAACTGCAGTTTCGTTTTGACGTTTTACTTTCGGCATGCCTTTTTTCTACAAATATTACATACATATTTTTACTATTTGCACATCTATTTTTAACTTGCTTTTCTATATAATTTTTTTCATTTTCATGCACAACTGATTGAAATCTCGTTTGAATTTTTGCTAATTCCTGGGCCAAGGTTAATTGACACATCACTTTTATTGACACTTATTTTATTGGTATTCTCTTCTTTTTTTCTTCGTTATTTATCACTAATGCCAATGAACATTTTTATGTATTCCAACTTGACACTTCTTCTTTTGACTCATCGCTCACACCGCTGGATTTTAACATTTCGCTATAAATTTTTATTTTTTATTTATTTTATATTGTTTTTATTGCTATTTCTCTTGACAGCTCCTAACAACAATCAACAGGTGATTGCAAGTAGCAACAACAACATGCATTTATGTGTACATATATGTATAAATATATGTACATATATAACACGAGACAATGCGAATCGGCGCAAAAGCAACGCGAGCGAACTGCGACTGCGACCACGACGTCAGCGCATGACGGGATCCACCAAACACAAGCGTCGTTCAGCCAAAGCTGCGCAGGTATACACAAGCCAAATGCCGAGGCAGACACACACAAACGAACACTTGCATGAGCTTATAGACGGAGAATATGGCGGAGGCAAAAGAAAATTTGCAAAAATCTCCATTCGTTTGTGAATTTCACTATATTTTTGCAGAACTTTTAACGAATTTTACACACTTTTCACAAACCGCGATATGAAATTTAATAAATTTTCACTTTTAATGAACTTTTAAGGCATTTCATTTCTTGCATTTGACTGCCGCTTTATAAAATTTTCACTACCAACTTTTATGGCCTTCTTTTTTGCGTATACACACCCCTTTTCTTAAGCTTAAATCTACCTCCAGTAGCCGAATGCCGCTTGAAAGATTTTCAGCTTTCGATTATAATAATTTTTCTACACTTTTAGAAGTTTTTCAATAAACATAAATGAGAAAATAAAACATTAAAATTTTTTAAAAAATAAAAAAGAAACTAAAATTTTTCTATTCAAGCGCTACGCTTATCCGCGTGTAGTTTCGAAACACTTTCGTATCGCTCGCTCACTCGGTAACAACTAAATACTTGACGAGATCTCAACTGCTGTCCCAATGCTCGAATGGAGCGCGCATTTGCTCGTTTATTAAAAAAAAAAAGTTACCAATAATAGCCGCAATTAGTTTTCTCAAACCAGTCAGCGTAAACAACAAAACAACACAAATACTTACTGTATGGCAGTATGTGTTTGTAAAGAACTCCCCACTTGTTGAACTACTCTGCCGGCACTCAAAGTTAACGAAGCAAACACTTTGAGGCATCAACGCTTTGGTGAGAGCGCTGAAAAATATGCATGTGTGCGTTTTGTTTACATATGCATGTGCATGTGTGTGTTGAGTGGAGCGCTAGCGTGCGTGCAATGCTTAAGCGACCGGCATGTCGTTGTTTCATTTCCAATCTGTTCCAAATATTTATTTCGAAAAGTTACTTATTGATGTTAATGATCATTAAAATGATCATTAAAATATATTCCGAGTTTAATTAAAGTGATAGTCAAATTGTTTATAGCTTACACGGAAGTAACGATTTTTAAGTTACAGCCCAAAATATATTTTTAAAAGTTGCAAAGAAATAAAAGATTGAAAAGAATACTCAACTGCTACCTAGAGACTAGTTGACTGTCGTGAGAGCTGTTGCGCCTAAAGTCATGCCTGGAAACTTTAGTCTGTTAGTTATTCTCAGGTGGATATCTTAGAAAGCTCACAAAAATATTATAATATATATATAATATAATATATATTATATTTAATATTAATTCTATTTCAGTGTTATTACAATAATTAATTAAAGTGCCAAAATATTTTAGAATTCTTAAATAATATCGATTTTTTCTAATTGAGTGTACACCTTTCTACCTGTTAAGGGGTATCCCCATTCTAGGGTTTTAGAAAACACAATTTTTTTTTTTTTGCTCACCGGGCACTTTTGGGTCCTAGATATGATATGCAATTGGTTTTAAAGTGAAAAAAAAATATTTCAAATAGCTAAACTATTTATTTTGCTGCAGCCGCTGAGAGCGTGCGCTGAGTACAATGAAAACTTCAAACTTTTTTTTTGTCAAACTGGGAGGACAGATTATTTGGACCCTATTGGATCGATTTATTTTGACAGTAGCTTCACAAATACAAGCGTTTTTGGAAGTACGTAGCAGTTTTTCGATTAAATGTAAACTTTTTTTTTTGTTTTAGTAATTTTTTGCATTTATTAGTCAAAAATCAATCCTTTTGAAAAAAAAGTGTGCCGCACAAAAATTATTTAGTTAAAAAATCAATTCGTACGTACTTCCAAAGATCATAGTTTGTAGATCATAAAACGTTTTGCTTTTCTATTCTAGGTCTCATGTTTTAGTAGACATCGGTCCTCCCGTGGACGCCTTCCAAAAAAAAACGTGGAATAAATAACGAGCTTTTTTTATAAATACTTCAAAATATGTTCAATGAAATGGTTAAATAGAAATTATATTCCCTTTCCCATTTTTCTGCAATAAATTTAAAAAAATTAGTCTATTTTTCAACCTCTAGAGTGGCTTTACCCCTTAAGAGCAATCGCTTATTTAGCAAACGTTGCCTACAAACAGGCGTTTTTTGAATTTATGCTAAATGTAAGCACTTAGACTAAAACATTTGCTACTGAACTTAATTGGAGCTTTAAATAAAAAGCATGCAGCGACATCTTTTTAAATACCTTTCCTACAAAAGGGACATAACTCAAAATATACGATTTTTGACGGATGAAGAAGACTGATTTGAAAAGTCCTCAATTTCTATATTTACTTAATTTCTACTCTGGTGTATAGTACCCGCACTCTGGAAACGTGAGCAACTCTTGTAAAAGATGCGGTAACCAAACCAGTGTGAACCCTTTCACGACTAAAACAGTGGAAGGTTTATTGGAGCCCCTCAGACTTATTCGGTTTCAGGGTTCGCTAAAGTCTAGTTGCAGTGCTTGTTCATCAGAGATGCGGTTCGCTCCGACGAAAGGGGGGGATGGCGATGCCTTTTACGATGGCCTGGAGCGTACTTAAGGGCGCTGCTCTAAAACAAAATCAAGGCGCGCTTGTCGACTTTAACGCCAGTGTCAGCAAAAAAGGCATATGTGGGAAATCTGTAGGGAAATTCAGCTTGTGCAACGAAATCACTCTGATCTACTATGTCAGGGCGTGCTATATAGCTGTATGTAGTATTAAGTACCTGCACAAGAAAATTCATCGAATTGAGCATGAAATAGAGCATTTGCGGGAATCATAGATGATAACATCGTGAGTATGAAAAGCTTGAGAAGCTAATGCCCCCAAGTTATACGGAAAGCTGTGGCTACTTACAGGAGGCTTCAAAAATAATACAGACTCTTGTAGAAGACAAAGATATGATATATCCAAAAATATAATAAATTTGTGGAGGGAACACTTCTCCAACCCTTGAACAATATGAGATGGCGAACCCAATACTTCAATCGATGACGGCATAGCAGATCTTGCTCGGCTATGAAAAAATTTTAATAAAAATTGGATTGCCGGGCAATTACTTAAATTCGGAATGACGGAACATTATAAGCGTGGGAGGCTTATCACACGGTAATTGGCGCAGACTGGGGGACCCCTTTTTTAATGATTGAGCAGAGCACACTTCAATTCCAATCGTCGGATATGCTTTCGTCCGAACATATTCTGCAAAGTAACTGATGCATGCACCTTGTCAGCTCTTCGTCGCCATGTTTGAATAGTTCTGCCGGTTCAGCCCCAGCCGGAGAACTATCTATTCCATCGTTATCGATTGGGATTTTGGGCTCACCGTTTCCGGGTGTTTCATTTGCACTGCCTTTCAGCAGGCTAGAGAAGTGTTCCCTCCATAAATTCAAAATACTTTGGGTATCGGTGGCTAGATCACGTCCTTGTGTCGTACAATAGTTTTCACCTGTCTTGCAACCTTCTGTAAGTCGTCGTATCTTCTCGTACAATTTTCGAGCATTACCCTAGTCGGATAGCTTTTCAAGCTCTTCGTACTCAAACATTTCGACCTCTTGCTGTTTTTCTCTGCAAATGCGTCTTGCTTCTCTCTTCAGCTCTTGGTATCTATCCCACCCAAGGTTGCGAGTTAGGCACCGCGGCCCGGCAGTCCCCATTGTACCAGCTGTTTTTGCGACCTTTCCGCAATTAAATAGTTTCGCTTGCAGCTTTACGTAGGGAGTTCGAAATACCGTCCCACAGGTCCCTTATACCGTGTGCAAGTCGTGCAGAAAACCGCTCGGCAGTCCGTAGTCATTGCAGATTTTCAGCGCCGAATCTTCCTTGTGTTTGTTAACGGGCGTTCTTTGATACACACAAGCGAGTGCTTGGCTTGGCTACGACAAGATAGTAATCCGAGGCGATATTAGGACCTCGGAACGTACGCACGTCTAAAACACTGGATGCATGTCTTCCGTCAATCTAGTGCTTTTCTTCGACAAAGGCGAAAACGCAGGTCAGGATGAAAACGCAAGTCAGGCAGCTGAAACTATGAATAATGTTTATGGTTCTGATACGGCTACAGTCAATCCTGCGCACTATTGCTTTCGTGGAATTTGTTATAAAAGATGCTCAATGATAAAATAGTTGAACTCGTCGAGTCCAACTGTCATCCGAGCCTTGTTTCAAATGGCCAGAAGTTTCAAATTGCACTCGAAAAATAGTTAGAAACCACTCGAAAAACGCTGGATACATAAAGAAGCTCAATGTGTGGGTGCCACATGAGTAAATAAGAAAAAATCGCATGAATCGAATTTCCATCTGAGAATCTTTTTCGATCATATCTGAAGCAGGTGATGCAAAGGGAATCACTGATAGCAATGTCGAACCGATCACCAAGTACCTTGGCAGAAGCGTAGTGGGTCGACACAAATGATTCTCAAACCAGGATTAACGGCCAGGAAGGTTTTGTTGTTTGTTTGGTACGATTGACAAGGAATCATTCACTATGAATTGTTTCTGAAATAATAGTTTATTCGGACGTCTGAAGGAAGAAATAGCCCAGAAACGCCAAGCTTTGATCGGCAGAAGGAGAGTTGAGTTTCATCAGGACAACGCATGCTCATCGATAGCGACTCACCAGAAGCTCCGATCGCTGGGTGGGCAGATTGTTATGCATACACCTTCTAGTGAGTACAATGTCTTCCAGTCTATAGCGAGAGATCTTGCTGACCATTATAAAGCAAAGAAAAACACATATCACTCCTGTCTCTGACTTTCAAGTTATGATTAAATATAATAGAAATTTCCTTCAAATTGTCTTTTAACCATTTCATTGTTTTCGAAAACCATTTGTTTAGATAATTTTTTTAATTAATGGGCATAACACTGATAGAAGTCAAATTTATGTCAAGCAGAAAAAAAAGGTGAGAGATATTTCGAAAATCACCATCTTTCCTCCTACTTCCTGTAACTACTTCCTTTCGAGCCCGAAAAAATAATTTTTTGAGCAATTTTATTTAAACGCAGGAAACTATTGCGGTAAGCGAAATTTTTAGATAGAAATATACAATATTTAAGCTCCAAAAAACAATTTTTAGTATCAAAAAATATTAGAATTTTCCATTGTTGCGATGAGTTTTCTGAAGCGGTAGGTAGCGGAAGGTAGTGCGAGGCATCTGAAACAGTCGAACTAAACTTTTTTTTAATTTCTTTTATATAAACGAGAAAAAATAAAAATTCAAATTTTTTCGAAGTTTGAAAAAAGTTAATTTTTCTGCATAAAAAATCACTTCAAGTAGCAAAAAAAAAAGTTCAAAATACTTTTGCACAACTTTTCAGTTGTATATTTACTAAAAGATAACTTAACGCTAGATCACCTTAGTTTGTTTTTATCGGAAACATACATACATATTCTTTTTTCTACGCCGCCACCGTTTTTTCTAAGAATTGTAAAAATTAAAGCTCGAGGAAACGCACTTCAAAGTTCTGCCCGAGCTTTTGAACCTGCTAGACGCTCGGCCACTAAAACTGCTCCAGCTTCAAAAATCACAAATGTAAAATTTCGCAGTGAACTTTTGAA